TCAAAATCAACGAACAACATATGCTTAGAGTGTATGGTAATCCTGGTAACACTTTAATATCATCAGACAAACTTTCTTACTCATCACAAAACAGTCAAATAGTCAATGTTGACAATAATGGAAAAATCACTGGAAAGGGTGTTGGGAGTACAATTATTACAGTCATATATACAGAGAATGGAAAAGTCTTACAAAATTCCATTACTATCAATGTATCTACAAGCGCAGTGACTACACAAATTAGTATCACAGCGGACACTTATTCATTTGCAGTTAACAACGAGATCACTATAACAGTAACTGCGCAACCAAACTCTCGAGTACTCTCCGCAAGTGAAGTCAACTGCGTTGCGACAGATTCAACTATTTTGGACGTCAAAGGAAGTTTTGTAATTGGTGGCAAGAATGCTGGAACTACCACATTGACGTGTACTTATATCGACAGTGGTCTGCAATTCTCAGACTCAAAAAGTTTCACAGTGTATGAGCAAAGTCTCTCAATAGAAACAGACTCGGACTCTATACAAGTTGGGTCTACTGTAACTATTCGAGTTTATAGTGAACCAAATCACGTTATTATTCCAAACACTGAATTGACTATAACATCTTCTAAAGAAGAAGTTCTGACAGCAAGTAACGAAGGTGTTTTGACTGCTAAAACAAGTGGTACCTCTGAAATTACTGTGACGTACAACAGTTTAACTGCTAAAAAACAGTTCACTGTATTTGAAGACCAAACTCCAAGAATCACTGTAGTTGTTCCAACAACAACAATTTATGTATACCAATCTGTGTCCTTTGATGTCTTCCTTGAACCGGGACATACTAAATTGGAACCAAGTGAAGATCTGTTGTTTGGATGTTCTAATTGTGTTGCTATTGAAATCAACGATAAAAACTTGACTGTGTTTGGATTGGATGTTGGAACATCTGAAATGAATGTCCATTATATTCAAGGCACAACAAGACTTGATGCCAAAGTCGTTTTCACTGTAATTTTAGGTACTATCCACCCAACGAAAATATCTGTGAGTTTCAATAATGCAACCGTTGCTCAAGGAAATCCATTTTCTTTCTCAGTTCTGATATCCCCTCCTAAAACAACAGAAAGAGGTGTCGAGGTATCTGTATCTCCAGAAGATTTCTATGTTTCTAAGAACGTCGCACTGTATGCTGAAAACACCTTCACAGTGACCCCTCAAAAGATTGGAACATACACAATTACCGCAAAATCCACTGATGTCCCAACATTAATCGCAACATTCACTTTATACGTGGAAGAGACTAATACTCGTGGATATGGTCTTTTGGCGACAGGAGTGACTCCCGAAGGAGGGTGGTACGACTGCAACAAGCAATGGGCACCTCAAGACAATATAACAATTCAAGGCGTTACTTATGACTACATGCCCAATGACTCTCCGATGTGTTGGGCAGCAACCTCAGCCAATATCATTGATTGGTATCAAAATAGCATCAACCTCACTAACGTCCCAGAGCATTGCCCTAATGGATTTAACAAATGGAGCAATGGCACAGAGAAGGCGAATGACAACACAGCGTATTCACAAAGTGAGGTCTATGAGTACTTCAGAGTATGTTCGACTAATCAGGGGTATTACATTCAAGCGGGATTGAATTGGTTCTTCACTGGGGCTTCACAACTCCAATACCCCCAAAATTACGAAAAAGGGTTTAGATATCAAGAATATGAAGGGTTTGATAAGAAACAACGAGTGGCCGACGATATCAATTTTTACTCGGACAGAGGAAGAGACTACTACGTAAGAGAGTTTAAAAATGCAGTAGTTGGAGGATTCAAAAATGGCAGTCCAATGGGGATATCTGTCTATTATAAGAATGGAGGAGGACACGCACTAACACTTTGGGGTTATGAACTTGGTGATGCTGATGTGTAGAAAGAGTGCTGGATGTGTGATGAGTGATCCAGAGAATGTTGTTGTCAAAGATACCGACTTGAAGGAGAAAAGAGGAGACAATATGGTCACTTATGTGTACTTGACAGACTCGGATGATGGATATTCAGAAACATATAAAAATAAGTACGTGACAAAGCCTAGCCCATTGGTAAGAGTGCCAGTTTATTATAGAGATGATTATATCTATATCATTTTAGATATTAAATGTTCAAACCCAGCTAAAGTGTCTTCAGTCACTGCATTTTATTTGAAGTATGGACAGGTCCCAGTTAAAAAACAAACTGAATAAAGCAAATTTTATTTCTTGTTATTTTTACTATTAATTCTATTATATAAACAATACCATAGTAATTTGTATAACTTTGTATTGTTTCATTGTTGTATTATTGATAGAATATATCTGAGTATTATAGAAAAGTTTATAAGAAGCATTTGTGGTCTAAGGGCAGAATTCCACCCTTCCAAGGTGGAGATCCGGGTTCGAGTCCCGGCAAATGCACTTTTTATTTTTATTGATAATAATAATTATTATTAAAAATTGTTTTAATTGATTATTATATGTACATGTAAATCATAACTATTTAATTAATAATAAGTAATGTTCAAATTAACAATTTCTAATTACCATTTAAAACGTCCGTTAAAAATCTCTACAAATACATTTATAAAACATTTTATTGTCTGTTGACCACCACATTAAATTAATAACCAAAAAACCTTTTATTTAGACTATTTTTGAATAAAATATTTTCTCGATTTTATCTTTCAGTGATTTGGTTATTTCCCACAAACTTACCAATAGTATTTTGGTGGCTTGCGTTGCGTTATTCTTCTTAAAAATACAAACAAAAAGAAATAAACTATAAATGTAATAAAATAAAACAATTATAATAGTATATTTTCAACAGTAATCCGACTTTATGGATTTTTGTTAACTTCCCATCCAAATGTTATTATCTTGGGTGTCTTGTTCCCAAAAATCGCTCCGAGTCCACCACTTATATCAATAGTATATATAAACAGAAACAGAAAAGAACTTTAAAATCAGAGATGGCCAAATTGCGAGAGTTGATATTGTCCGTTAGAGGAGCAAAGACAGCAGCCGAAGAGCGCGAGATCATCACGAAAGAGTGTGCGGTGATTCGTTCATCGATGTCCACAAACAACTTAATAGTACGTCATCGGAATGTAGCCAAGTTAATATACATTCAGTTATTGGGATATCCCACACAATATGGGCAGATGGAGTGTTTAACATTATTATCGTCACATCACTATGCAGACAAACGAATTGGGTACTTAGCCTTGATGCTTCTTCTTGATGAAACACAAGAGGTTTTAACATTAGTGACCAATCACATTCACAACGACTTACTTTCTTCAAATCAATTTATCGTTGGTCTTTCTTTGTCCGCCATAGCCAACATTGGATCTGTTGGTATTGCCCAAGACGTCGCTCCTGAAGTCGAGAAACTGATGGCTTCCCCTGTTAATTATATCAAGAAGAAAGCTGCAGCTGCTGCTTTACGAATCGTACGCAAGTGCCCGAGTTACTGTGAGATCTACATTCAGAAGACAAAAGCTTTATTAGTAGAAAGACAGTTAAGTCTGCAGTTAGTGGGTCACACATTAGCAATTGAGCTCTGCAAACACTTCCCGCCTGCTATTGGCGAGTTCAGAAAGTTAATTCCTAACATGTTAAATAATTTGAAGGTCTTAGTCAACTCCTCGTTCTTACCAGACTTTGATGTGAGTGGGTTGACTCATCCATTCTTACAAGCGAAGATCTTAGAGTTACTTGGAATGCTTGGCCACGGAGATAAGGCCAATTCCTCATTGATGTATTCAGTGTTGACCTTCACTTTAAATAACACAAGCAATTCAAGAAACGTCGGGAACGCCGTGTTACTGGAAGCCGTCAAGACTATCTTACAGATCGAAGCGGAACAAAACTTGATGCAGACGTGCGTGCAGATCTTAATTAAAATGCTCAATGGGAAAGACGAGAATTTCAAGTACGTTGCGCTGGACACGTTACAGTACCTTCTTGAGGTGGGAGCGCCAGCTATACAGAAGAACAAAGGAGTTGTAGTAGAGTGCTTAAAAGACCACGACCATGCTATTCGGAAACGAGCATTAGACTTAGTGTATTCTTTAGTGAATGAAAATAACGTTGTGGCTCTTGTTAAAGAACTTCTGACGTTCTTGCAAATGTCAGACATCCAATTCAAACAAGACGTCGTAGTCAAGATCTGTTGGCTGGCGGATAAGTTTGGGCCGGACACGAAATGGAAGTTTGACTCGATTTTGGAGACTATTGTCATTGCAGGAGATATCGTCCCGGAAGAGGTGACGTGGAACTTTGTGATGTTAATTCAACAAAACATCGAATTGCAAAATTACGCCGTCAGAAGGTTGTTTGAAGCGTTGAAGAAAGACGTCAGTAAAAACGCATTGAATCGAGTTGCTATTTGGGCGATTGGGGAATATGGAGATCTCCTTGCAGTGAATGAAGATCAACAGCCAGCTGTCAATCCATCAGTTATGATTGACTTAATAGAGTCAATTGATGGCTCTGGATTCTCTGATTTGACTATTAAAGGAGAAATTCTTGTGGCTTTAACAAAATTGTCTGCGAGAGTCCCTCAAAACTATTACTCGAAGATTACTAGTTTTCTTAATAGTTACAAAAATAATATCAATTTGGAACTCCAACAACGGGCTATTGAATTCTCCCAATTCTTTAATTATAATGAACTTAGAATGGACGCTATGAATAGAATGCCTATACCAGAAAATCTCCATCAAGAAACTCATGCAGCTCAAGTCGTACCAGAAACCCCTTATATTAGAGATACCGCTTTTGAAAAGGATAACGAGGAAAATTCCCCACCTATTAGTCAGGAAGAAACTAAAAGTAAACAAGAAGGTGACTTACTCGATATTTTGGGAATTTCTAATAATAAACAACAAATGCAAAAGACGGTGGAACAACCAAATCTTCTGGATTTACTCGGAGGGCCGGTACAACAACAAAATAACCAAAATGTGGTGATACCAATGATACCAACTACTACTACTTCTCAATCACAAAATGTGGTACCAAATGTTATTCCTGTGGAACATGTCAAACAAGAAAGTCATCAAGAGGTACAAAATGTACTCAATTTACTCCCTCAAACACAAAACTCACCAGTTGCTCCTATAGAACAACCCCCCGTCATAACGCCAAGTAATGAACTGATCGTTCAAGCACTCGATAATAACGGAATTAATGTCAAGTTCATCGTAAAACAAGACAAAAATACATTCAGCATCAACGCGACATTCTCGAACACTAACTCATCGGAACTCCAAAACTTCTCAATGAAGGTCGCTGTCCCAAAATGGATCGATTTGGCTCTCCAACCTCCTTCCGGAAATACTATACCTGCTTTGTCCACTGACCAAGTCACACAACAACTCATCTAACAAGAAACGCAC